CATCCAGCCTCCGTGGCTCCAGAAAGTCTGGAGTTCATGAGAATTTGAAATTCTGTTCTGCATTTTCCACCTTTTGATCAGGATTCTTCTATGGAATCTCTGATCAAAATGGTCAGTAATGGTGGCTGGGCACCATCAGTTCTTCTGGTCTCATGGCAAAGGAGGCAATTGTTTATGGAGGCAATTAGCCACACATTCCATATCCTCCTCTTATTCCTGACTCTCCTTCCTCTGCTGCTCCAGGCAAAAAGAGACCAATTGTTGTGCCTTTGATGGCCGCTTGCAAACTTTTAAGACCCCAGGCACTACACAATGAACTAGGAGGTAGAACAGAAGAACTAAATGCGTTATTAGGCCAATTAACAGGGATATCTCATGAAACCACGAAAAAGGGGATGACTCTTTATGAGGTACCTACTATTTGGCAAAGTAGAGGGTCCAAAAAAGAAAGAGGAAGACCCTCAATGAGATGGACTGACACAGTGGCTGCAACTATGGGCTCAAGCATAACAACCATGGTGAGGATGGTGCAGGACTGGGCAGTGTTTCATTCTGTTGTACAGAGGGTTGCTATGGGTCAGAACTGACTGGATGGCACCTAACAAAAACTGTGTGCCTTTTGGGCACTGTTATGGAGTGAATTGTGTCCTCCCAGAAAATGTGTGTCAACATGGCTAGTCCATGATTCTCAGTATTGTGTGATTGTCCACCATTTTGTCATCAGATGTGATTTTCCTATGTGTTGTAAATCCTACCTCTATGATGTTAATGAGGTGGGATTAGCAGCAGTTATGTTAATAAGGCAGGACTCAATCTGCAAGATTAGGTTGTTTTATATCAATCTCTTTTGAGATATAAAAGAGAGAAGCGAGCAGAGAGACATGAGGACCTCATATGACCAAGAAAGCAGGACCGAGAGTGGAGCGTGTCCTTTGGACCTGGGATTCCTGTGCTGAGAAGCTCCTACACCAGGGGGAGATTGATGACAAGAACCTTCCCCTAGAGTCAACAGAGAGAGAAAGCCTTCCCCTAGAGCCAGCACCCTGAATTCAGACTTTTAGCCTCCTAAACTGTGAGAGAATAAATTTCTCTTTGTTAAAGCCATCCACTTGTGGTATTTCTGTTATAGCAGCACTAGATGACTAAGACAGGCACCTTCCCGCAAACCACCCAAAGAGGTTTTCACAGATGTGGAAACTTAGGCTTGGTGCCCAAGGTCACACATCTAGGGCAGGAGAGGGGCAGGATTTGAACATGAGGCTACTTGAATTCCAGAGCTCCTCCCTCTGCCCCCAGCTGTCTCACATCCATTGTTGTTGTTGTGTGCCATGCAGTCGATTCTGACTCATAGAGGCCCCACGTGACAGAGCAGAACTGCACAATAGGGTTTTCTTGGCTGCAATATTTATGGAAGCAGATAACCAGGTCTTTCTCACGCAGAGCTACCCGATGGGTCCAAACCGCCAACCTTTCGGTTAGCAGCTGAGCACTTAACCATTGCACCACCGGGGCTCCTTGCCTCAGATCTAGAAGTATTTAAAAGTGTCATGTGAATGTGGGACAGTCTTGCCTCCACCAAGCCCCCCTCCCCAACAGGGCCTGGATGCCTGGGGAAATCAGTCATGGTCCGGCTTCTCCTCATTGCCAAAGTGAACCTCCAGATCCCAGGGTAGGGGGCACAGACCAGAGGCCCCTCATTCTGCCCAGTTTTCCCTCGACCAGGACACCCAAGCGTGTTTCAAGAGAAACGGCCCCATCTGGTTCTAATTCATTTACCCTTAATTAATCAAAATGTTGTTTTGTAAGAGACACTAGATCCAAGCCTTTTTCAAGCCTTTTCTTTCATTCTTTTTTGTCTTAGAAACAGAAAAATTGGGTTTCATAAAAAAAAAAAAAAAAAAAAAAAAACAGTGACGCCGGAGCCTGAGGAAGCACAAGTCTGCGGAAGCGGAAGCGAGGTCCTAAGAGTGACCACTAGGACCGGGTGAGGGAGAAAGTCATTCCTCCTGACCTCACAGACCAGATCAGAGGCTGAGGCCAAGGACTCGGGCATGGTGGGCAGGCTGGGGAAGAGCAGGGAGGGGTCAACCCTCCAGGCTGGCAGCTCCTCAGTGTCCCCAGGGTTCCCAACACAGAGCCTGGCACAGAGGCTGCCCTTGTTGACTGAACAAGTAAATGAACGATTGAATGAATGAAGCACTACCAGTACCCAGGTGCCTCCAGGACACTTCTCCTGCCAGAGTTAGACCAGAATATCAAAGCTAGTCAGACCTTTGGGGATCTCGTGCAGAATTTTCCAAGCAGATGTCTCATGGAAAATGGTCTCTGATGTGTAAGTTTGGGAAAAGTCGCACTCTCTGTCCCACCTCTTTACCATGCATGCTGTGATGAGTCCTTCAGTCAACAAATCTGCTTAACCCAGCATTTTCCAAACCTATTTGGCCATAACTCCTATGAACACCGTGCAGAATATGCTATGAGAAGGGTTAACCTAACCTCCGCCCCAACCCCAGTGCCAATAGAGAATCGGAGGCCTTGGAGGGTGGGGGGTGGGGGGGCTCACTTGACAAAGGTCACACAGCACAATGGGATTGAGGGTGGGACTGAAATCCAAAGCCAGGGTCCCCTAGCTTCAGGCTATCTCCATTACACCCCACTGATAAATGGGATCACAAGGGTCTCTCTGAAGACACTGGGCAGGTGTGTGTCCCGGAGGCTGGAGATCAGCTGCTATGGAAGGGGCCCTGTACCAAACGAGGCTATTCCCTGACCTCCTCACTCAGCTCCTGGGGAGGTGGTGGTGAGTTGGGGAGGGGGAGAGGGACTGGAATTTTTCCTTCCCTCCCTCCCTCTCTTTTCTTCTTCTTCTTCCTCCTCTTCTTTTTTTTATAACACACACACAGACAGGCAAGCAGGTAAAGATGCATAGATAACACGGAGACCCCCATCCCTCTCCTCTGCTCAGTGTCCTTCCTCTGGTCTCTCCCCCACTTTCCCCGTTTCTTTTTTCTCCTGCACCTGGCCCTGTGCCACTCGTCTTCTCTTTCTTTTATAACTGAGAAGAACCTTAAAAATCTTCTATACCAGCTCCTCTGCAGATGAGGAAACTGAGGTTTTGAGCAGGAAAGATCATCATAGCTTAGGAGACATCTTCTCAATGCCATGTCAGACAGATGGAAGTTCAAGGCCTGCTTTGCTACTCACCTGCTGTGCAACCTTAGACAAGTCAGCTCCCCACTATGAACCTCAGTTTCCTCATCCATAAAACGGGGGCATGAGTAGCTTCTCCCTCAACTAGGCTGATGTGAGTAGCCAAGGACAAAATGGCCAGGAAATGAGAATGACTACTACTTCCATGAGCTCACTAGGGGCCTGCTGCTCTGCTAAGCATTTAACACAAACACACACATTTAGCCCTAACTAAAACCTTCCCCATGAACTGGTCCTTAAGTTTATTATTCCCGCTTTAAAGATGAGTCAATGAAGAGAAATTTTGATTTTTTTTTTTTTTTTTTTCTTTTCAGAGCTGAGAAGGATCTTAGGGATCTTCTAAAGGACCCTCAGATGGGTAAACCAGTCCTTGGAGAGGCAAAGTGACTTCCCCATGGTCACTGGCTGGTAACCAGGGAAGCCAAGATTTGAACCCAGGCTGACTGGCTCCAGAGCCCATGTTCTTAACCATTCACAAAGGAGTGCCCCCATGGTGTCCCACACTCCCCCCAACTCACCTAAAAACCCACCCACCTCTCCACTCCCTGGGTCCCTGTGTCCAGTTACACCAGAGTTTGGACGCCTTGGGTCACAGACTCCCCAACCCCCCTCCATCCAATCCCACTTCGCAAGTCTCCCACAAGCCTCTCTCTGCCTCCTGCTTCACTCCCAGGAGTGATTTTGTCTATGTAGGGTTTTTTCACTCAAATAGACTAGAAGCCCCCCAACGGCTGGCCATTCTCCCTCGTTCTTTCTCCCGTGTAGCCTTGCTCAGGCCCAGCATCAGAGCTGGAGAGAGAGAAGGCACTGGGTCCTCCACTCGCCTGCTGTATAACTTTAGTAGTTATGCAACCTCTCTGAGTCTTGGCACCTCGGCTTTATAAAATGGGGTGACCTCTGTGCCATGAAGATATAGAAGGGATTCAATGAGATTGTGCTGGAAAGCCCTTGGCACAGGGATATATTCAACTGCTGGTTCTCAGACTGGACACTAGAGCAAACGGGCTGCCTGCCTAGGGAGGAGACCTGCCACTGGCTTGCCTGCCACAGTCAACTTCCGCTCTGCAGGGACAGCCTCAGACCCACCTCCTGAGCACTGTCTGCCTCTCACAGCAAGGGGCTGTGGAGTGAGAGGCCAAGGGGCTCCTGGCATTGCATCCCAGGCACATTTATCAGCTGAGCCTTGGTTCATCTTTCCAGGGGCCCTAGGAGTCAAGACGGAAACATCAAGGTGCTTGGGGGACTGGACCTCTTCCAAGTCATCACCAGCAGAGGTGGACTCAGGCCTCATTCTGTCACCAGAGGAGTGGCCCACCAAGGACCACAGCCTGCTCAGAGGTGCCACCATGAGTCAGGGTCTGTGATGGGGCTGGACTCAGGCATCTGGACTCCCAGCCCAGGGTTCTTTATGTCACCTCCTGGCTCAGCATGGAGGCTTGAAATGGTTTCTGAGCCACTAACTCTGTCCCCTAGTCCCTGTGACCTCTAGGATGGCACTTCAGGATTCTCTTCTCTGCACAGAGCCACCCGTTGCCTCCCGCAGTGTTACCAGTACAGGGCAGTGGCACAGTGAGTGTGCTCTGCCAGCCCCTTCTTCCTGGAGAGCCTCCTTGACCCCGCTCACTCAACGGATCTCTTCCTGGGTGCCCTGAGGCCTCAGTCTCCCCCTGTAAAGTGGGACTGACACCATATCTGGAGGAGCCAATGGACCAGGGCGCCAGGCTCTGGGCTGATGCCCAAGGGCCATTTCCGGCCTGCAACTCTGTGCCTGCCCCGGCCGCCCTGCGTACCTTGCTTCTTCCTTCGGTTCAGGGCGAGCATGTCCACGGCGTGGGCGACGAGCAGCAGCAGGCAGAGTGGCGCCCGCATCTGGGCAGTCTGGTCCGGGTGGGCGTGCGGGGCTCCTGGCACCCAGGCAGTGCCCTCGGGAGCTCCCCGGGCGGCCCCACAGCCCGGCGGCGACCCGGCGGCAGCGCGGCAAGAGGGCTGCTCGGGGTGCACCCGGCGCATCCGCGGGGCGCGGCGTCGGTGCGGTCGCCAGGGACCCGCCGTCTGCCCAGGGGTCCACCGCTAGGTCGAGTGAGGGCGTCGGCAGAGCCTGGGCACTGCCCTGGCGGGGAGGAGCCGGCGCCGGGGGCGGTGCCTTAACCCGCTCGGGGCCGGCGTCGTGCAGGGGGTCTCCAGGCCGCAGCCAGAGGTCCGTCTGTCCCGCTGTCCGCCCCCTCCGCACTGTTCTACTCACATACCGTTGCCAGCTACAGAGACAGGCGCGTGCACACCCTCTCTCTCTCTCTCTCACTCACACACACACACAGACATGCAGGTACAGATGCTCAGACACACGGAGATCCACGCCTCTGCTCTGCTCAGCCTCCTGTCTCTGGTCTCTCCCCAACTTTTTCTGTTTCTTCTTTCTCCTGCACCCGGCCCTGCACGGTTCGTCGTGCCTCCCTCTCTTTTTTTCTTTCTGTCTCTCTTCCCCTACTCTGCTGCCTCTTCCCTCCACCCCGTCTGTGTTCATGTCTTTATTGCCAAGTCCTTGTTCTCTCTCAGGCTCACTGCCTGTCTCCACCTCGCTGGACCTCAGTCTCTCCCTTTTCTCTGCCTCTCCCTTTGCCCCCATCTCTCTCCTGTACAGAGTGGGGTATACAGGGCTCCGCGCCGCCTGCCTCAATCTTACTCTCTGTGCTGGGTCTCTATCTTTGAAGAGAGGCCTGAGCCCCTTCTAGCCACTGACGAGGAATGTGGGGGGGGGGGGGGCAGCAGGCGGCAGCCTGAGACGAGTCCCTAATCTTTGACTCAATTTCCCAGCTCCTCATAAATTCACTTGTGATGGAGCTAGGGACCTGTGTTTCCTCCAACCTTATCACCAGGACTAGAAGCTGCTGGTTTGATTTTAACTCTTTCAGAGCCAAATCCCTCCTTCTACCCAACTCCTACCTCCTGTTGTCCTAGCCACTAAAAACAACACCAATAATCATAATGACAACTATCATTTTTTTCCTTTTTTTTGATTGTACTTTAGATGAAGGTTTACAGAGCAAATTAGTTTCTTATTAAACAATTAATACACGTGTTGTTTTATGACATTGGTTGCCAACTCCACATGTCAACACTCTCCCCTTCTGCACCTTGGGTTCCCCATTACCAGCTTTTCTGTCCCCTCCTGCCTTCTCGGCCTTGCCCCTGGGCAGTGTGCCCATTTAGTCTCATTTTGTTTTATGGGCCTGTCTAATCTTTGGCTGAAGGGTGAATCTCAGGAAATGACTTCAGTACTGACAAAAAAGGGTGCCCGGGGGCCATACTCTTGGGGTTTCTCCAGTCTCTGTCAGACCAGTAAGTTTGGTCCTTTTTTTTTTTTTTTTTTGTGAGTTAGAATTTTGTTCTACATTTTCCTCCACCTCTGGGACCCTCTATTGTGATCCCTGTCAGAGCAGTCAGTGGTGGTAGCTGGGCACCATCTAGTTGTGCTGGACTCAGTCCGGTGGAGGCTGTGGTAGTTGTGGTCCATTAGACGGCTAACATTTTTGAGGTCCATGTGCTTGGTGTTGTGCTAAACACTTTTCACGTAATGTAATCTTCAAACAACCCAGTGATGTCCTCTTCTTATTAGCTCCACTTTATAGAGGAGGAAAGGGAAGCTCAGAGAGGCTGAGTGACTTGCCAGAGGCCATACAGCAGATCAGCAGTCTGTCTGAGTTCATTGCCCATCCTCTTAACCACCATGCAGGACACAGTCTCTTCAGGAGGGAAGGAGCCTGGGAGTCTCAGAGGAACTTATACTTGACTCTCTCTTGCTGAGCAATTGTCCTTCTTTTTTCCAAAGAGTGTGGATTTATCAAACAGAAAAGGAAGGTGACTGCTGGTGTCTCCTTCTCCAGCCCTTTTTCAGTCTTGGTGAGTGCTGAAGAACCATGACGGAATGTGAGGGCACATCACGGGAAGGGAAACACACAGAGTGTGGCAGCTGAAGATGCAATCTTGGCTTGGCTATTCCTTCCGTGGGGCTCCATTACCACCATTGACAGCATCCTGTGGGAGTTTAGTAGAATGTCAGAGCCATCGCATCCAAACCTCCATTTCATAGATGCGGACTCCAAGGACTCCAGACTAGGGGTGCCTAGCTCAGGCAGCTCAACAAGTTGGGGTCAGAGCCAGGATGGATATACATGGGGTCCCGGCATGTTCTCCTCCACGATGGCCTGCAAGGCTGTCTGGTTCTGATTTCTCCAATCTCTGCCCCCGTCCCCACTACCCCACTTTTAGCCCCAGAGATCTCAACTTCTTCCAGTATTTCACAACTACCTCCAGGGTCCTCACACCTCTGAGCTTTTAGTGTTTTCAACCACTCCGTGGAATGCTTGCCTATATCCCACCCACTCTCTTCTCCACTGACTCACTTAGGACCGAGCCAAGGCATGCCTCTCATCCAGGAAGACTTCCCTGATTCCCAGGCCAGGCCCAGTGCCTCTTCTGGGCTTGAAAAACCCTTACCACAGCCTTGATCACTCCAGGTGGTAAGTATGGATGTGCTTGTCCCTCCCTCTAAACTGTGAACTCTTTAAGGCCAGAGACGGGGCTCCAGAGCTCAGCACATGATCGGACACAGAGCAGGTGCTTGGCATGTTTGCTGAATGGATGAATGAATTAATGGATGAATTCTCCGGACGTAAGTATTCTCCAATCTGTTTATGGAATGCAGGTACTTAAATAAATGTGGTGACCCCAGAAGATCAAGCCTTAGGAAATTGAGAAGTCAGCCCCCATGAGACCAGCCACCAGTCTTGGAGTTTCCAAAGTCCCGAAGGGGTAAGCCTCATGTGGGCAGGGCTGGGGAGGAGCAATGTGCATTGGTACATAGGTGCATCATGAGTCTTTTAGTCATCTAGTGCTGCTATAACAGAAATACCACAAGGGGGTGGCTTTAACAAACAGAAATTTAATCTGTCACAGTCTAGGAGGCTAGAAGTCCGAATTCAGGGCCCCAACTCCTGGAGAATGCCTTCTCTCTGTCGGTTCTGGGAGAAGGTCCTTGTCATGAAGCTTCCCCTGGTCTAGGAGCTTCTCGGCGCAGAGACCCCAAGTCCAAAGGAAGCGCTCTGCTCCCGGCCCTTCTTTCTTGGTGGCATGAGGTCCCTCTGTCTCTCTGCTCACTTCTCTCTTTTATATCTCAAAAGAGATTGACTCAAAATACAACCTAATCCTGTAGATTGAATCCTGCCTCATTAACATAACTGCCTCTAATCCTGTCTCATTAACATCATAGAAGTTAGGATTTACAACACATAGGATAGTCACATCAGATGACAACATGGTGGACAATCACACAATACTGGGAATCATGGCCTAACCAAGTCGACACATATTTTTTGGGGGACACAATTCAGTCCATAACAGTGAGTCATGCAGAGACTTAAAGGTCATTGTGGAAGGGGTAGAGCAGACCACATAAGGGAGGTGCAGAGCACATCTGCCCACATTCTATTGGCCAGAACTGTCACATGGCCATACCTACCTGCAAGGGAGGCTGAGAAATGTAGTCTAGCCATGTGCTGGGGAGGAAAAGCAAAAGGGTTTGGTGACCATCTGGCTAGTCTGCAACATTGGGGCACCCTCATTTCTTGCCCTGGTGATGCAGTAGCTCCTTCCTGCCGCATTTGCTCTGGCCCCTGCAGGTGCTTTTCCGTAAGCAACTAGACGACCTGAATTCTCCCTCCAGGTGAAGCCCAAACTCCTCAGAGCTGCAAGGGCTGAATGATGACCCCTGCAAAGGTGATCCACTGTCCTGATTTACCAGGGAATGGGGGGTTTCCTAGGACATGTTTTCTTTCTTTATTGTATGATTCCACTTATTTTTGTAAATTTTATTTTTGGTGAAGATATATTCAGCAAAACATACAACAATTCAACTATTTCTACATGTACAATTCAGTGATGTTACCGTCTTCCAGTTGTGCCACCTTTCTTGATAGCCTTTTCTGAATTGTTTTACCATCAACATAAACTAACTGCCCCCTAAAGTTCTCATCTAACCTTTCAAGTTGCTGTTTTCAATTTGGTCTCGTGTAGATAATTCTTTAAAAGAACATAATGTTCCAGGTGGACATTCTTTTCTAATTAAGCTAAACTATTGTTCGGTTTCTTGACTGCAGTTTCTATAGGTGTTGACTGTGGATCCAAGTAAAATGAAATCCTTGACTACTTCAGTATTTTCTCTGTTAATCACGATGTTGCCTACTGTTCCAGCTGTGAGGATTTGTGTTTTCTTTATGTTGAGGTGTAAGCAGTCAAGAAATCAAATGATTTACTGCATCCGGAAAACCTGCTGCAAAAGATCCCTTTAAAGTGTTAAAAAGCAAAGATGTCACTTTAAGGACTAAGGTGTGCCTGACCCAAACCATGATATTTTCAATCACCTCATATGCATGTGATAAAAGCTACACAGTGCATAAGGAAGTCTGAAGAAGAATTGATGCTTCTGAATTATGGTGTTGGCAAAGAATATTGAATATGTCATGACTGCCAGAATGCTGCCTAGAAGCAAGGATGCTGAGACTTTGTCTCATATACTTCGGACATATTATCAGGAGAGACCAGTCCCTGGAGAAGGACATCATGCTTGGTAAAGTAGAGGGTCATCGAAAAAGAGGAAGACCTTCAACAAGATGGATTGAAACAGTGGCTGCAACAATGGGCTCAAACATAACAACGATTGTGAGGATGACACAGGACCGGGCAGTGTTTCATTCTTTTGTACAAAGGGTCACTATGAGTTGGAACCAACTCAACAGCACCTAACAACAACATTGTTTGGTTTAAAGATAACTTCAGGGGATAGTTTCCATTTAAGGTTTAAAGATTTCCTGAGG